ATCTCAGATTCTCCAGCATCTGCAGTTCCTACTATCTCTGAGCCAATCTTTCCAGCCTTGATTCAAGCTAATTTCTTACTATTTGAAGTGTATTTCATTATGAAACTCCAATTTACTGATGGATATTAAAAACAAATGGGTTGTCAAGAAGTCCATTTCCAACTTTTAAACATTAAAAATCAACTACAGTTTGATTATTAGCAAATATTTCAGCATGCGGAATGTGTTATTCTACAAAGAGAACGTAACATTGATACAGTGGTGAATACAAATGATTTGCCACTGAATTGCTTTAGTCAATAACCCTTGTTTTATCTCTGTAGATCAAAATTATTTCATGACAACTTTGTTGTGGTCTGAAAGAGGAGGAAAAATAGTCCCATTTTATTTTGCTTCCTTTGGATGTTTGTTATGTTTTCTGTTACACTGTTTGTGTATTCTCTTCATGGAGTAGGAACTATTGAAGCTAAGGAGATTTACCTAAGAGAATCTTTTGAGTAAGAGGGTCTTATTGCACAGATCTTCTAGATAGCTTTGCGCCTGGGCACCATAAAACTCTACATTGAATTTAGGTATGGCTTTCAAAGTGCTGCTGGACTTACTAATTGATCTGTTCCTAATTACTGCCTGAGTTTGATGCACTAAAGATTGGAAGAAGGAGCTCCATTTGAACACATTGAATTAATAACAGAGACAGTGTGTAATTCAAACCATGTATCTTTATTTAGCAAATGAATACAGTTAATTGCTATTCCAGTATCTTTGCAGCAAGTATTAAATTCTCTTTCGTTCAGAGTTTGAGTGTACTGTTTTCAATTGTGAACCTGAATGAATTGTCTCCTCATGTTCCCAGCATATTTATTTGACTGTGTAGCAATGAGGTTTGATGGCCAAACCAACTGGCAAGCTGCCTTGGATTCAGAAGTTCAACTAACTGACACTGTGCTACATCTGCCATAGTTAGGAATGCTGTGGTCGCTAATAGTTTGCACCTGAGATAACATCAGCAGCTATTCGTGCTAAGTCTCGTGATTTTAATTTCACCTACATTTCATATAAATCTCTATTAATGCTCTGCATTTTTTTCACAGGAATAGAAGAGCTGCAGCAGTCTAGAACTGAAATTTTATGAGCCTTTTCCAAATAGTCATCTTCAAACGTTGTTGAAGTAACTTGGCTGATCATTTGTGATGGGTATGAAGTCTGTATGAGCAGCATTACTGAAAACTGCTGAAATCTAATGTTAACATTATATTGAGCACCATAAAGACAGAAACAGAAATTTCTAAAGAAACTTAACAGATCTGGCCGCATCTGTGGAGAAAAGTCAGAGTTAATGTTTTGGGTCCAGTAACTCTTCTTAAGAACTGTCAGCATTTGGGAAACGGTTGTTTTTATCTTGATGACAAAGAGTTTAGGGGAAAGGAGTGAACTGTTAGGTGGAGTCAGAGCCCAGAGAGAGAGGACAATAGGGTTGTTGATAGTAAGTCAGGGAAGACAAAAGGCTAGATAAGTGAAAATTGGGACTATAAGTGAGTGAAAATGGGTTAGCTGTGCTGAAAGCACCTGGTGTTATGACAGGACTTGTGGTGTGGAAGGAGGTATTCAAGCTCTTAAAATCATTGAACTCAGTATTGAGTCCTAAAGGCTGCAGGTCCCACGTGGATGCTGTTTCTCTAAATTGTGCTGAGCCTTGCTAGAGCACTGCAACAGACCCAAGGTAGAACTGTTGGCTTGGGAACATGATGATGTGCTGAAGTAGCAGGCAACTGG